TGGCACTAATAATATAGAAAAACAATGATAATTATTCATATGCAACCTCCTACCTGAGTTATGTTCTCCAACTCCAATCTTCTCTGATTCTGTGAAGTCTGATACAAAGTTTATTGTTGCATTAGAATTTACAATCTTATACTTTTAACCTACTGTGTATGGCTGGCTTTATTTCTCATTCAAGTTTTTTCACCCCAGAAAATTAGAAACAGTCTGCATTCTGTTAAAAGTTTGCTTAAATTTTCACATTAGATTCTTAATTTTAACTTTATGCAACTTTTGTAGCATGAATAGCATTCTTATTGCATAGCGTTTGAGACTCCGAAGTTGGAGCACATTTCATCATACCTGTCGTTGGGAACTTTTATCTGGTACAATTACCGGGTTGTACATTCACCATTTTGCCTTATTCAATGTTTGATGAATGATGACACAAAACTCAAGTAGATTTTTTTTTTTTTTTTCTGCCTTGTAAGCCTTCTGTCATGTGGTCTCTATTAAGGGGTTGATAGTATTGTAACTGTTTTGGATGCGTGTAATCTTCTGCTTAATTTGGTTGCCCTTTTTTTTTCTTTTCAATTTGCGTTTACTTTGTTCTTAGAACATCCTATTAAGGTCAGCATACCTTCGTCCGTAGGAGCATATTGGAACCAAATACCTTGTGCAATTAATGGTTCTTGCTGAAGACTAGGAAGATGCCAGTGGTTTTGAACTAGACGAGAAAGCTGAGGATGAGGATATTGCTGAAGCGTTTGATAATGCTTAATGGGTTTAAATGGATTGTAAGATTATGCTTTAGAAAATTCTGATCTTTCATTAGTTTTATTTCCAATTTATTTTTATAGGTGGTGTAAGAGCTAAATATTTTATTTTGTTGTGCCTTCGGAAACAATCCAACATGTCCAGTTTAATTGTCGTTTTCATTGGTTTTGGGTTTGGGAGAGGGGGGCGGGGGGTGTGTGTGTTTGGGCTTAAGCTAAATTACAAAATATATATATATATATATATATATATCAGTTATACTTATAAAATAATTAAGTAAAAAAATAATATAATTTAATAAATTTTTATTAAAAAAAAGATTGAAACGTTCTCCTAGTTTAAATGTAGAAATAAGATTGTTTTATTCTTGGTTTTTAGTGCTTTACTGAAATCTTATGGTTTTGAATGATTTTTTGTCTAATTTTCTTTGTACGTTTGGTTGATAATATTAAACACTAATTTCATAAATTATTAACTAAAAGTGGAAAAAAAGATATAAAAAATTAATTAAAATTAGGGAAAAGTGTATATCATATATATTTGTAAAAAATTAAGTAGGAACAATATCTTAAAATCATGCTGTTTTAGTAAATATTTATCGAAAAAAAATTAAAATATTTTAATTTTTAAAGTATGAATGGTGTTGTTTTCTTTTTATGTGATGTTTTATTAAAACAATATAATTTGAAGTTTTTTTTAATTAATTTTTTTCATAGATTTAGTTAATACACACTAATCCATTAAAATTCGGATGCACTATTTTACAATATAAATTGGACAATAGGGATTTTTTTGATGAGGGAAGTCCCCAAATAAACACTAATCAATTAACATTTTAATACATTATTTTACTAGTTGAATTGTTAAATAAGACTCTTTGATGGGAGAAAGGGCCTTGATATTAAGACCCTTCCTCTATCAAAATGTTAATATTTTATAGTTTAAAA